GGTTTAGGGATGTCAGAGGATACATCCCTGGCTGTTGTGTTTAATGTTTATTAATGGATCTATCATCCATGAATCTGTCTAGTCCCTTTTCAAACCTATCTACTTCTACAACCTCCTGTGGCAAACAAATTTACTAGGTCCTGCTTAAAACTGTACTTTTTCTTGTTTGTTCTAAACCTGTCTCCTGCTAATTTCAGTGGGTGCCCCCTAGATCTAGTATTCTGGAACTTCATGAATAATGTCCCTCCTTTCACCCTATTCCCTATCCACAGCCTGCATGATTTTAATAAACTTTTACTGTATTTTCCCTCAGCCTTTTCTTTTCCAAACTGAAGAGTCTGAATGTTTTGAGTCTCTCTTGTTATGGTAGCTGCTCCATCTCTCTGCCTTATACTGTTATCCTTTCTGAGATGCAGAAACCAGAACTGCAAACAGCAGTGAAGATGTGGACACATCATGAAATTATATAAGGCATTGTTTTCAATTCCTTTCTTAACAATGTAAGATTTTATTGGCTTTTGTGGTTGCTGATGCGCATGGGTGACTGGTGCCTCCCGAGTCTGTATCTACAAGGTCTCTTTCCTGAGTCACAACAGCTCATTCAGAGCCCAGTTCTGTGTATGTATTTAAGGTTATATTTCCCAAATGCATTACCTTGTACTTGTTTATCTACCACTTCTTTGCCCACTCAGCGTCACACAATATTTCTGCAGATTCTCACCTTCATCTGGGTATCTGACAACTCAGAATAATTTGGTATTGTCTGCAAAATTTGAGGTTTCCCTGTGTACTCCCTTTTTCAGGTCATTGATGAAAATGTTGAATAAACCTGAGCATCGCTCCCCATGGGACCCCACTATGACATTCCTCCCTGATCTAGAGGGGTAGCTGTTAGAACCTAATGGGCTCTTCTAACAGGCCTGGGGCCAAGTAGTAATAGCAAGCAATGCCCTGCACCAAACTTGTGTGCACATTGTATTTGGAAGCAAGGTTCACCACGGGACAGCAGCGCTGATGCCCCAGACTAGCCCCTGTCCCTGCCTCACTTTTCCCTCCCAGACTCACCGTTGATATAGGTCTGTTCATGGATCTCTGTGATGCTCAGCAGGTTGGCTCCCTGCTGCTCACAGCTGTTCCAGGCCTCCCGCCATGACAGGGTTGACTGGAAGTTAAACTGGTAGCAACTGTTGGTCAGGTGGTCCTTGTCCCAAAAGGTCTCACAGTCATTGCCTATAGGGTGAAGGGACAAAAGGCAGGAAGGAGCAAGGGAGTGACAGGTCAAACCTGCTCCTTGGATAAGGGTATGTAGCCCCCTGTTAGGGCCAGTCGCAGGTGCTTCTAATGGCCCCACAGCAGTTCCCATTAGCTTTTTATTCCCACCACAAAGACTGCAGCTGCTGTTTAGGCAGGCTTCTGTCTTAAAGTCCCAAAGGCAGGACAAACCCATTGGTGAGCTGGAATGCTCTGACTGGGTGAGCAGCCATGGACATCCCTAGAGCCTGGAAGACTGCATTGGCCATCATTCTAGTCCTGAACCCTCCCTCTCTCTGAACAGCTGACAAATTGCTACATGTTGGGCCTCATAGCAGGATCACTGTCATTGCACCAGCTCTAATAAACACTGAGTCCGTGACCTGTGATGCTTTCAGTGTTGGCCAAGGTAAGCTATGTAGGAAGTATTAGTGAGATCTGTCAACAGGTCATGAAGGGCCAGGAAATAACAGAGGGCACCTAAAGCTGTGGTCCTTGAAAGGAAGGGATGGCAAATACATCAGTGGCAGAGAACCCATCAGTGCTCGGCACCCTAAGGTAAGTTCAAACATGCATTGATGGGCAGGAAAGAGGCATGGGTGGTTTTATTCCCCGTGCTTCAGGAAAATGGGGTTGGGTTAAAGCCTCCTTCCCAACAAACACAGTTGAATTTCTGCAAGAAGACATACTGGATCCCTTGTTTCCAAAGTGGACCCCTCACCTCAGTGCCCAGTTAATATCACTGGCAGCCATAACCTCATGGCAGTACTGAGCTGTAATCACCTATGAAGCTGTCTTTTACACCCCTCGTACCAGGCTGATTATTACCAATCCTGAGTCCACCCGGTGCTAGGCACCCAGATAAGATGTTACCACTTACTCTTAATGGGACAGAAGCCCCATATTTCATCCTTGCCATAATCTTGTGTGGTAGCACACCAAAGATGCCCGTCCTCGCGCCCTGTGCTGGTGCATTCATAGAACCACTGATTATCATACTTGAACGGGATGGTGCATGGCTTCCCATGGGAATTGCCTTGAATGGTGTAAATTTCTGTTGAGAAAAAAAAATAATCCTAAGACAGGTTCAGCCTCCTTTACTTGAGGGGGGGAGAGAGAGATGCTGGAGGAGTAGGGCAATCTGGAGCAGAGGGATTAGGAGTTCAGGAAATGGCCATCATACCTGAGGCTAGAGGGGGGACAGTATTCTGCTGAACTCTCAGGAGCAGCACTAGGCACCTGGCTCCGTGCAATTCTCCACACTAGGGCTCTGCTAGACATCTGTCAGGCCTATCTTTATCTACCCTGAACCCAACTCCCACCTTTGTTCATTTTATCCTATCAGATCCTGATGCCCTAACTCTTTACTGCCCTGCCTTTCAGGGGTTACTGTAAATTGGGGGGAAGATACTACCCTGCTGTCTCCCCAGCCCAGCAGGTGCAACTGGGTGTGGGAGGAAGCGCTGCACTGCCATAGCTACCAAGCTGAGGCATCCCGCTGCGCAGAAGCAGTGGGGGGCACAACTCTCCTTGGCGGCCATGGTAGCCCTCCCTCCCATGCCAGGTCCTGCCCACTGGAGCTGGTCCAGTCCAGCTAAAGCCCCATGCCCCACTGTGAGTGCAGAAATCTCAGGAGACATGTGCTCCCAACTCTCCCAATACGTTGCCTGTGCTCTCCCCACCCCCCATGTTGCCTGCACCCACCCCCTGTTCCCCACACACTAGGGGGCTGGGGCCTGTGGGGGTCTGTGGGTCAGGAGTGAGGAGCAGTGGCAGGGCCAGGGGACTGTGGTGTGGGTTGGGAGTGAGGGGCATCAGTAGGGCTGGGGGGGTTGGGGGTAAGGGGCACTGGCAAGGCCAGGGAGCTGTGGGACAGGAGTGAGGGGCACTAGGAGGGCTGGGAGGCCTGTGGTTTGGGAGTGAGGGGCAACAGCATGGGCAAGGGTAAGGCACCAGCATATCAGGGCTGCTCAGCACCACAAAGCAGTGCTGGGGGACAGCTACAGTTGGACCCACATCCTGGTGAGCAAAGGGGTCAGAGAGAGCTCTTATTTTCCATGATCAAAAAAAAATCAAATGCCAAAATATATAGGCATTTAGAATTTATTTTATTATAACAACTGAGGTACTGGTAAGCTTCCGAATTGCTTTAAAATTGTAACTATATCAATAAAACATCGTGTCCAACTGATACCTACATATATAGTGGCATTTCATTTTAATCACAGAAAAATGCAAATTTGGTTCTTTTAATCGGGGGGGGGGGGGGAGAAGCAGAGTATTTGCGATTTTTAAACGGAGAAAACTAGGATCCCTGAATCCCCACAGCCACCATCCCACTTCTCTAGTGCTCTGAAATTACAGGAGAAGGTGCAATCATGCACACCACTCTGCTCCCCATGTATCCGCCGTACAGACACTTGCCCCAGAAACAGGTCCCAGAAGCAAAGCACGTGTCTAAGTGTAAAGTTCTTCTATAATTACAGGGAGAAGGAAAATAATTAATAATTTTCTACTCCAGGACTGTCCAAGCCACATGGCTTGTGAGTGGTTAAATCATGGCCTGCGGGCCCAAAAATTCTCTGGTAGGGTAAAGGATGGCATCATTAACCCCCACAGCTGCCAGAGCCACTGTGTTGGCAGGGCCAGCACACAGGGAATTAACCCCACCGCTGCTCGCTCTGCTTCTCTAGTCCAGCTCAATCCCAAAATAGCTTTAATGCAGAAGTCACTGGCAAAGGTGTATAGCTTATGGTACAGTGGAGGCCAGACTAGGTATAGCATAATGGAGTCCTGGTCCATAGCTGGGACTACTAAGAACTGCCGTAAGTACAACAAATTGTCATAATCCCTCCTCACCTGAAAATCAAATCAGCCAATGAAAGCATGTCCACTGACATGAGTTGGAAGTGGATCAGGCCCCAGCAAGTACTGCAGGATGCAGGGCTCAGACTGTAAGCTCCTTGGGCCATTTTCCTTAAATTTGGTTAAAAAATAGTAACAACAAAAAGGGCAAAAGCCTTGTATGAAGCCACAGAAATGGGGAGGTGGATGAATTCTTACTGCCTCCAAGATCTCACTGTGTGTTTGTGTAGCAACTACCGTGCCAACGTAGTGGTCTGGGTGGAAGCCTCAGGCACCACCATAATCCCAGTAACAGATAATTGCAATGGATTGTGAGTGGATGACAACAGAGTGCTCTGTGGATCTTACCTGAGTACGGTACAGAGCACAGATCTTCATCAGTGCCATAGGTTCTCCACTGTGCTCCGCGTGCCTGATCTCCTCTCTCAGCAAGCACCAGGGAAGAGTTCCCTATCCTGGTGCTCAGATACTGAGATAGCTGCTCCCCCAGGCTCCGGCAGTTCCACCTCATGTTGATGGACTCACGGTCACACTCATATGTGGCTAGTGACTGCATGCTCATGGTAGCGTTGACACCCTGCCAGGAGACTCCCAGGCACTGCATGGCCCCAACATTGAAGAGTCGGCTCCGGGAGACCCATTTCCACTGCTGTGCTGGGGTGCTGGTGTTACAGGCTTTAGAGATCTTCACCAGGGAGTCCTTGGTTTCCAGGCAGCCTGACAGGCCAGTATTGTAGATCAGGAACACCTTGGAATCTGCAAGGCAAAAAGGGCAAAGCTGGAGAAAAGGGATTAGGGCAGGGGCGACCAATTATTTCAGGTGCAGGGCCACTTAACTTTTGTCTTGTGCTGCTGCTGGGCCAGGGGACCAAGGGACCCATCCCAGGCCGGACAAAGACCCTCCGCAGGCTGGATCCGGCCCACAGGCCACATTTTGCCCACCCCTGGATTAGGGCCTGGTACGAATGTGAGTAGTTTCTACTGTGACACAAGCCTGGCTCCAGTTACAAGATCCAAACCCTGCTTCTGGTGCAAAGTGTAAATGGATCTTAAGAGAAACAAGGGACATGACAGATTTCACCAGAGCCATAGGCCATCAAAGTCCAATGTCCTGCCCCCAGCAGCAGACAAGCCCTCATACTTTACAAGAAAGGCAACCTTCCACGTGGTCATGTGCATGGATGCTTGATGCTGGGACGGGACACTACTGTCCCCTACTGTCTCTCAGGTAATCAGTTCATAGAATTTAATTGCTTTCATCCCAGCCTGTCCAGCTTACTAATGCTCTTACTGATCATGACAGGTCACTCCCTGCTCTACATTAGAACACCCACACCACAGTAACTGGGACCTACCCTACAGAAGTGAAGCAAAGCTGGTACAACATTAACTCTGCTTCATTCAGGGTTACATTTACAGCTGTTTACCTCATTCCAATGGCTGCAAGAGCATGCAGGAGTAACTTACTGAGAAACTGCCTGCAAGCCCTCCTAAGCAACCGCCCCTTCCCTTCTGAAATAGTCTAACCCCCCTTTGTCCATAGCCAGCAACTGCATGTAAAGTACTTTGTTAACAGGTCAAGGACTTTAAAAAGGTATTGTTTGGAAGTCTTACAAATAACAGAGTTCCTGATCAAAAGGAGCCAGGCCCATTCTAAATCTGTAAGGGAAGGAAAGAAACTGAGGTAAGGACACAACGTTTGGGTACAGAGACATGTGGGGGATTGCAGTGTAGTGGCTTAGTGTCCCACTTTTCTGTATTACATAATTAGCTGTGTAACAGAAGCTGGTTTCATGCTTCCCTTGGACGCATCCTGGATTGGCTGTTGCCATAGACAGAATACTGCATACATAGGCTTAACCTGAGAGTCAGAGCCAGTGCAGTCTAAGGACTGCATTGGTCAGGACTCCTATGTTGGGAGTCTGGGGACTTGGTTAATATTCTCAGTCTTACTGCATGACCATGAGCAATTTGCTTCTCCTTTGTGTGGAATGTGAGATCCCAGGACTGAACCCCTGGGTATGGGGCTAGTATAGCACCTAGCACAACCAGGGCCTGATTTCAGTCCAGGCCTCCAGATGATGCTGTTATAGAAATTACATCACCAAAGTGACTATGGATCCATGCCAGGATGGAAGTGACTGTAGTGGTAACATACTACTGCATTCTCAAGACTCATTCTCATTGCCATGTAGCTTCATAATTGGCTTATGAAGTACAAGTGCAAGACTCGGGTATCAGAATAGGTCTGAAAATTCTGGCAAAAAGGAATCTCTTTAGCAACGAAATTCAACTATCATAAAAACCTGAACTTCCTTTGCCTGTTCCAAGTTCAGTAACTGAAGCTAACAATCCAATGAGCCCATTAAAAACCTGCTAAGATAGTCTTGTAGCAATGTATTTCACACTAGCTTTGCAACAGGGAAAGAACAGCTCTCCCTACCACTGCCAATACTTTCCAGTCTAAAAAAATATGACAATGCAGGAAAATAAAACAGTGTCAGTCAGTTTTATGTGCACTTAGGGACCTGTTAAAAATACTGGAACAAACAATACTTGAAGGTCTTACACCACCTAATTCATGGGCTCTGCCCTCCTGATAGAAAACACTCTTGGAAAAATTAAATAACTCTTACGATATAAGGTGAAGCTTTTTCTTCACTTCTTTGGACCCTGCAGGTACTGCTTGGTGCCTGTCTTCTTATGCCTTCCTTCTGGGGCAGATACTGATTTTTCCTCACAGTTAAATGGTTATCAGAGGAAAGTTAGGTGCTCAGTACAATGGCAGTCAAGCACCTGGCTCATAGCTCTGACAATCCCCACATTTTGCACAGCAGGAAATGCTGAAATAAAGAAAGGGGAACTGATTCCTCATGACCATCCCCATAGCACCAGTGGCAGAGCTGGGAACACAAAGAATATTAAGCCTGATCTTGCCAGTAGGCACCACTGTCTTTTAGCTTAAGTGACACTTTGCATTTAAATGGCACTTTGGTTGCTCTTGTGTTTCTGCAGATTGGTCAACCCCACTGTGCCTGAGTCTATTCACTTGGGAAGTTAACCTGCTCTTAAAACCAGACAAGGATGCCATTATAAATTTGTGCAACAGTAAGCCTCCCCTTCTGAACAGTGTCAGAATCAGCTTCTCTCCACTTAACATGTTATGGCAGGGCATGCTAAAATACAATCTCTGGGCCAGATACAGCCTATGGAGCCATTGGATCTGGCCTGCAGAGGTGGAGGGCCTTCCTCTACCTACACTGTGCTGGGGCTGGGCAGCAAGGAGTTGCACTGGGGCCAGGCGGCTGGAAGCTGTATCACCGTTGTTTCTCCCTGCCTCCCAATACCTGGCTATAGTGTGGGCACAGCTCCCAGCCACTGGGAAGCTACACTGAGGCTTGGCAGCTTCAAGATGTGCTGCAGCCAGGAGGCAGGGAGGGAAGGCAGGAAGAAGCAGCAGCAGCAGCACAGATGCAGCTTCCTGCTGCTTAGCCCCAGCTCAGGTCCTCTCTGGCTGGTGCTGCACCTGGGGCATGGTGGGTGCAGAGAGAAGTGCTGGAGTTGCTTGCACAGCTTCCCTTGCTTGGAAGCTATGCCTGCACCCCAGCTAGGGAACTGGGAGAAGCAGTGACAGTGTAGGAACAGCTTCCAGATGCCTGGCTTTGGCCTTGGAGCAGACAAACCCTCCCCACTCCCAACTGCCAACATGCTGTCTAAGCCACCTGGCCTACATCAGACTGGGGCCAGGTTGTTCAGGTCCCCAGCTAATAACACCCCTTTGTTATGATATCACTGTTAAATGGGCAGGTTTAGGTGCACTTTACTCGATTATAAAGAAAATGGCAAACTGAGAGGAAAAACTTCCCTCTGTATGGATCCTAGAGTATTAACAGACAAATGAGCACAGAGTAGAGAACGGAAGCATGTCAGATTTCTTGGAAGGGATCCAAACACCCCCCACAAAACAGACACCTTTAGTGGCCCTAGTGCAGTTGCTTGGATCCTCCCTGCCACATACCACAAGCAGTCCAGATCTTTGGAGGACAGCAGGGGCCTGTCCAGAGTCCAGGTCAGTTGTGGTATGCTGCCAGAAAGCTGCAAGCAACTGCACCAGGGTCCACAAAGTCCCAGTGCAGCAGATGGCAGCGAAGCTGCAAGGGACCCAATCCTTCTTGTGGCAGCTCAACCCTGGCGCGCGTGCATCCACTGCTGGCAACGACCCGGAATGGGGCCCTGCAGACCCCAATGCAACCGCTTGCAGCCTCCCAGCTACCTGCCACAGCCAGCCCAGTCTCTGGGCCAGCCCCTGCCGCCCATCATGGAACCCAGGCTGTTCCCAGCAGGCTGTGTTGAGGCTGCAAGCACCTGAACTGGGGTCTGTGGAGCCCCAGCCCAGCTCATTGCCAGCAGCAGGTGTGTGCATGCATGCCTTGAAGCAGACAGTGGAGAAGGGCCCCCGCCTGCGCAGACACAACAAAGATTGGGCCCCTCATGGCTCTCCCACCATCCACCCCTGGCACGCTAACATCTTCCAAGTACAGGTTGCGGGTGTTTTTGGCACACCCCCCAAAAATGTTGCCAACCCCTGTACCAAGTGCTGGGCTGACCCAACCATCAAATAAGCATTGTGATTCTCAAGATGCTAAATACAGGTGCCTATACACAGATTACAGTGCTGAATTTTTAGAAAGCAAGCTTGAAAGCGCTGGCTCCAAGCTCTACAAATATATACTGAACGCTGTCACGTTGAGATGTTGCTGTGTGTTTTTCATACAAGATTGCAAATAAGACCCTGGATGTGTCTGCCTGGGTTCCCAATATAATGGCAACCTCTCACTGCCATGGATGGCATAAGGCCTCTTAGGAATTGCTGTCCTCCCCAAGCTTACACATAAAAGCCCCCTTTTCATGTCCCTTCCATATAATTTATCATTCCCCAAGCCCTGACAACAAATCCCCCACCACCACATGAGAGTTTAATGCAAATGTCAAAGTCATGGTCAAACAGAAAAAGAAGAAATTCTAAGCCCTGCCTACAAAACCTACTGGTACACAGTAGGATGACCACACCAAGCTAAGGTTCACTGTAGTATCACTTCCTACCAGCCTTGCCACTCCACATGAGACAGAGAGGGACAAAGATCACTAAAGTTCTCCCAGACAAGCATGTTTTTTTAGTGTATAGACAAAATGGGGGCCCTAAATTGAAGCAGTGTGTTTTTAAACAACACCACTTCAATTTAGGGATGATTAAGCCCCCGTGTCATGCACACACCCCGCTGACTTACCTACCTCTCTGGTGCGGAGGGCAAGCTGCCAGTGGGCGGAGCAGTCCCTGGGCTGCAGTGGGGGCTGGTGTTTCCCTCTGTGGCAGCGGTGGCCCCCCTGGCCACACCCACCCGCAGGCACCCCTGTTGGGTGGTCCCAGGGAGCACTGCAGCTGTGAAGGGAAGCACTGGGCCCCCATGCAGCTTAGGCAGGCAGGCTCCAGGGGTGGGGGGAAGGGGGAGATCAAGCTCACTGCTTTTTTTGGGCAGAGCTGCTTTCCCCAGCTTCTGCCAGGCTGCCTGCAGGGCTTCCTACAGAATCGTGGAGCTGTACGGAGCCCAGCGCTTCACTCCATAGCTGTAGGGGCAGCAAACTAAAATTCCTCGAAGGAGTTTTAGTTTGCTGTGCCCAAAGTCATTTAAGGCACATTACGTTGCCAAATTTCCTACAGCGCCTGGAATTAATGCACAATACAACGTCAAGGCATG